AAGTTACTCAGTAAGCTAAATCTGAAGTTGTTTAGGACACCGATGTAGGCGTAATAATAAAATCATTTAAAATTAGCAAGTTTTACTCTCATTGCATATAGCATAACTTATTTGACATGCATAGTTCCTCACTTAATTAGTTCAATAAACCAGTTAAATTATGTTGAGGATATTAAGAACTTATCTACACAAAATTTCTTAATGCTTAGCGTTAAACATTTCAGTTTCTAAGCTAGAAATAGCTTCATGCCTCTGCAATACTTACTTCAAGCTGCTGTGATCGAACAGTAATTTCAGCGATCTCCGGCCTGAAAATTTGCTAATTGACTTGGATGGGAACTTGCAGTTGACGTACTATGGAAAATGGCACAATACCGGTCGACCAAAAGATGTTGTCGAAGGTTACAGTGCACCAGGTGAGTCGCTACTAAGGTCTTATATGACACTTGATTCTGTTCATAAATTTTGTGTTGTTGCAGAATGTTTCAAATATGGTTGGATTCCAAGTGTGGAGAATGACGTATGGACGTTAGGTGCGCTAATGTTTGAGCTGTTAAGTGGAAGAGCACTTGTGAATGCAGCACCACATGGAGTTACAGCGTAAGTGTCTTTCGTGAGTTTGAATCTTTAGCTATTATTTTGTCAGTTTGCTTTTATTCATTCATATTTTCAAACTAAATCTCTGATCTCCAAGTGAGTAGCTCTGTTAACTTGTGTTTCTGTACCGTTTTACAAACTTTCTTCTCCTAAGTTTTTTTTTTTGAAATTTTGCTTCAAAAATGTCTTATAGATGTGAAGAATTACCATTTCCGGATGATGTGTTGATTTCTTTAGCAGCACGAGATTTATTGTCACAGTGAGTTTTTTGTCCCAGTTTAGCTTATATATTTGAGAGTTTATTAAGATTTGTATCCCTGCAGATTACTGAGTGATATTACTGCACGTCCCTCACTTGAGACTGTTCGAGCACATGCATTTTTTCGAAATATCGATTGGTCTTTGTATGATAATCCACATACGGGTACTTTTGACAAAGATTCAGTGAGTGCCTGGTTTCGTTCTTGTTTTTAATATTTTTATCCGAAACACTTGCATGATTTGTGTTTAGGCATCTACAACCAGCTGCTCAGCGGCTGAGCTGAGAATGGGCCGAGTATCTGGCGAGAGCGACTCGGGATTGCCACCTTACGTGCCTGATCTATTGGATACTGTAGTGGATAATGAAGAGTGTGGCTGACATATCGTATCTACTCGAAAAGGAGTGATTCAACCATACTAGTGATTTCTCAGATTCGGCATTTCATTTCTTCACTGGACTGAAAATAGGGTCAGCGTTAGATTGAGCTTTGATTCTCCAAGTATGCATGAAATAGTATGACTGCCAATTTTTGATATATCCAAAAACTGCCGAATGTGTGGTTTTTCTGATTCAGCCTTTAGTAGGCCCATTTGTCATGGTAGCGGGTTAGGAAAGTGTAAGGATTGTAGTTTACATACAAAAGCAGCACTTGTCTACGGATTGCCAGAAGCTCTCCTAATTTGCCTTTTTTGTTGCAAAATCCTCTCATACTACCATTGCCAATACCAGCTCGTTTCAATCAAGGTATTTTAACTTCTTGTGGCAATCGCGCTCTAGCACTATATGTATATTTCACCATTATGCTAATCAACTCTATCCTCGCTTTTTAATTACATTCATTCCTTTACAGGATAAGTCATGCTTGTCAACGAAATATATTAAATGTTTGATAGCTTTGACTAAGTTAGTGAAACTGAATTTTTTTAGAGGCGAGTAATTTATGATATGCTCGCATAATACACTAAAAGTTTCTGCTATTCATAATAGATAGTAGACCAACAATCATTAGAAATGGGTTGTACTAACGTAAAAGCATACGCCTCCAGTCCTAAAACGGTTATTACCTGTGATTTTGGTTTTTTTTT